AATTGGATTTTAGGATTTATCGTCCACGTGTATTACTTCCAATATATCTTACAGATGATTGAAAATCTCGCAGGCTAATTTAGGATTTATCGCCCACGTGTACGTGCATACTAATTTAGAGGAGTTATCCCTTTTCATTCTAACCGTTTTCTATCACGCGAGAAGGGGGGTAACTCACCTAAATTAGTACAACATCAGATCATCTATAGCAAATCCACAAATAATAAAGTGTAGTACTTACTGAAAAAGGAAATATTTTCCATATAATGGGAAAACATTATTCATATATCTGTGTTTGTGTCTGAGTGCATTTGTCTGTGTTTATCAGCAAATAACTGTCATAAATGGTGATTATTTACTTATAAGTGTACATTTGCATTCATTATCCTTAGCGTATGTAACCAGTTTCCATATTCATCTACGCAAATTATTAATCAGCCTAACAGACTTATACAACCAATCCTCTATCTCATTTGTGTAACTAATTACCCATTTTTAAGTATTCTATTATTTTTTTTTTTATTCAGGCTACCAATTAACCAGTCCAGCCAATAACCCTTTTCCTCTACCCAACCACATGGCGAGTCTACCCGAAGTGCCCACCCAATTCCACTTCACAACCTGCTAGCCAACATAACCAACTCACCTCACCAATAATTAATTTCATATTTGTATATCTACCCGTTAACCAATATACCAAAATAAAATAAACCCACATACCAAAATCCCTGTATTTTATCCGTCTTTCTACCTATTAAACCCATATAACCAACTCCTACAGCCCATTATCTATGCTGTTCTACCTGTGCTTCCACCTAGAGTGCTTGAAGACCTACTTCTCGTACCGGAGCCTCTCGCAGAAGGACCCGGATTTCGTGGCGGCGCTGAGGGACACCTACATCCTCCTCCCCCCGGACACGTCCCCCTTCGACGTCCGCCGGCCCGTGTGGAGGGAGCTGCTGGAGTGGGACAAAGTGCAGGAAATGTTGCTGGCTCTGTGGAGGAGTGAGGTCTGTCTGTAGTGGTCTGTTGTTTGGGGTCTTTATATGCTATAACGTGGGTATTATTTGTGTGCGTTTTTTTAGTTGTTGTTGGCGGTGTTTTTATTTCATCTTCTAGTTTGCACGCGTCGGTAATACTTTAAATAACACGTTGCATTACCTGATGATTCCTGACGTTGGTCTTTTGCAGCCTCCCGGAACCTTCGTGGAGATCGGCGCCGTCGACGGAGTGTTCATGAGCCAGACGTTGATGCTGGAGAAGACCCTCGGCTGGTCGGCTCCGAAAACCGGACCCTCGCTCGTTCGCCATTCTGCAAGACCGACGTCGCAACGCTTCTCTCGCACCGTTGTGTGTCAACGAACAGCATTCCGATCTGGTTAGCGGCCTTGCTGACTGTGTCCAACTACCCCTACGGTGTTTGTTTACTCAGATAATTGTTTTAACGTGATTTGCGTTTCTCGATTTTCTGGGAAAGTTACCCCCAAAAAGTATTTGGTTTTCTATGATAAGAACTACACCCGTTTTCTGTTTTTCAGCACCTGTTCTGGGCGATGGACTTGATAAAAGATTTACCTCAGGAATACCAAGCGCTCATGATGGCCAGAAGCAAACTGTCCTCAGAGACCATCGACGGGGTAAAGACACTTCATTTTCAGTAAGGATGAAATGTCAATAGTGGCATTTGACAAAGGCTCTTAACAATCAGAATTATTACTCGAACCATTACAGTAATTATCACTGGGAGTTTGGTCCCCCCCCCCACACACACACGGTCTCCCCTCGAACTAACGGCTGGACTAACCTCGCACAACCTCCCTTCGTCAGGACGAGCGTCAGGGAAGGTCGAGGCTGGTGCGCTGCGTTCCCCTGACGACCCTCCTCCTCGCGGCTCGCTTCCAGAGGGCGGACTTCCTGAGCGTGGCCACGGGGCTGCCTGAGGACCACAAGCTCCTCCAGGGCGTGCTGAAGGAGCCAGAAAAGTTTGACATTAAGGTGGGATGCACTTCAGATTATTCTATTCAGTTCAATTTGAGAGACACAGGATAGAACTTACAACCTAATAGAAAATAACACGATGAATCCAACTTATGATACATACATATAAAACACGTAGGTCATTTTTTTTCTAAGTACAAACACATAAGATAATAATAATAAAAACTTTGAAATCGGCATTTAATCCAAGACGCCCTTCTCCTCGCCACCTCCCTCCTCTCCCACGTCCTCCTCGCCACCTCCCTCTTCTCCCTTCCCTCCTCAGACGATCCTGGTGCAGTACACGCGGGGCGTCCTGAAGGTGACGCCGTACCCGACCCTCCATGGGTACGTGTACGACATGGAGCGGTCTTTCCTCCTGACGCGACTCTACTGGAGGAGGAGCCACTGCCAGCTGCTCGAGAAGGTGACGACCTGCAGGAGGTTCAAGCACTACGACCTGGCGGAGGCTTGCTTCAAGTACCGCTGCCTGGGTTTCGCTACGGTGTGGTCGTTCAGCTGA